AGCGGTTCCGACTCACATTCCTTAAGGGCGCTTTGTTCCATGGAGGGAAATGCTCGGAACCGCTGGTCTCGATCTGATCTTCTTCTTTTTCTCATCGGTTCTTTAAATAAATTGTCGTTGACTAGAGATAAACAGAGTTACATAAAATCATAGGTCTTGGGCCGTGGTATATTTGCCTGACCTTTATCAATACACAAACCCAAAAAGTCTAAGCGGATCCCTGCCAGCATTGCATGCCTATAGGCACATTTCAGAAGCAGGCAACTGTTAGGCCATTCCAGTCTGGTTCCTACTTCTCAGGACTTTGCATCTAATTCCAAAATGCATAGTCCAACATCTGTCCCCAGAAGATATGTCGAAATGAAATGAACAGTTCCTGTTTGAAAATCCTGAGAGTCAAAATGGCGTGATAGTCTTTATCAAGTGCCAACTATATAGAGAGAAGCCCATAGAGTATTGCAGTGCAGAGGTACGCTGTTTGCCAAAGCCCGAATCTCTGCCACCTCATGCTCATGCAGTGACAGGTAATTGAAAGAGCTTGTACTCCAGACTCTTCTATCTCAGACATTCTAACTTAATGATTAAGCTCAACTCAAAGAATTCATCCTGTCTCAGTTTAAGAACTGCCTTAGAACTAAATACCAAGTAGTTGCAGGCTCAGTGGCTGGAGCTGGAAAGGAAGAGGCAGAGAAGAAAAGAATATGTTACTCGGGCCCCCAGGCCAGCTACAGGCTAAAGAACTCTTTAGTCTGCATTAGAAAAAGTGTCTGTGGAAAGAAAGCAAATGGATGTCGGGCCTTGTTCTTGACTTTGTAACTCAGAAACTCTTTTGTGTAAACAATGTTGGCACAGTATCTTAGCCACATGTATAAAACAAGGGACAGGTCCATATCCGTGGCCTTTATTTCAACTTTATAAGCGTTGGCAATCAATATGATAAAAGATTGAAGCTTATTTCTCAACTAAAGCAAAGGCTAATATGTCAAATTAAACAGCAGGATTTTAAAATTCTTCAGTTTCTAAAATGAAAACCACCTGGAAGGAGAAAGTATTCCATCTTGGATCTATACAGTTTAAGGAAAAGATTTTTATATTAAATTGTAACTGGAATAAACTGGCACATCTCTTATTCCTTATAATTGTCAAGCACCCCCTCGGCTTTTCTAGCACTTACACATTATCTGAGGAGAGAGAGCAGTAGGGATGGGTGGGGGCAGTCCGAAGAAGGAAACCATAGTGTGCTGCTGCCATTGCTTCTTGCTTCCACAAGGTGTCACTTTTGAAAACTGATCTCAGATAGCCTGACTCCAGGACACAGGTTCATTGCTGATCCAGACCTTTGCTCCAGACTGCCATGGATCTCCCAAGCAAAACAACCTCACTCCTTGAAGGCTAAGTTCAACCAAGGGTGCCCCCAAATTGCAGCTCTTTGGGTTTGTATGCCCAGCCATTCCTCATATGCTAGTCACTACCCCACTAATCCAGAAACACAGCTTCCCTTGCCCCTAAGCCTCTTTGATTCTCAAAACACAAAGGATGTGATACACCCCATTTACTGGACATAGGGGTTACTTTCCTTCATCTTCCTAGAAAAGGGTCCTTGCTTGGCTCTAGGGGCCCCACACCCAGCCTTGCAGGGAGGGATCCACCTCACTGACTGCAATGTGAGTCACCCCACATCTCCCCTTCTAAGGAAAGCATCTGAAAAAATTCCAGGGGCCCTACCTTGCCCATTGTAAAAGAGGCTACCTATGGAAAACTCAGGAAGGTTTTTGAGACCCTTCTTTGAAAGCGGGGAGGAACAAATTGAATTGCTAGTCAGACAGTCCACTACATCATGAACAGGATATTTTAGTTATCAGTGAAATAATATATATTCATTCACTATCAAAACATGTCATGAGAAAGCAGCTTCAGAATAAAGAGCAAGGAACAATGTTAAACACAGTCTCAGCCCATTTGCCCTTGATTGTGTAATGGAAAGCAGTTTGTTTACTTCATCAGGGGTTATTGTAGGGATGGTACCTGGATGCTGCTCCTGGCCCACAAAATCCTCAGTTTCTGCCATTTCCTGTTATATAAATGACTGCTTTCGTCCACTTAGGAGAACAAGCCTAAAAATACAAACCAAGTACAAGGGGTGGGAGTGGGAACAGCAGAAATTGTAAATACAAAAAACAAACAAAAAAATTTTTTTAATAACATGGAAATCTGCTTATGCTTTATTTCCCCAACTAGACTTCAAGCCCCAAAAGGAAATGATCATTTTAACTTAACTTTGAATCCCTCACAATGCCTAGTATACTATGTGTTGACTTAAAGATGACAAAAATCAATGCTTGTCCATTGGTTTTCAACAATAGTTGTGCCTATAGAACTTTAAACTGATATGACCTGAGATACTTAAGGCAACTCACTCTGAACTGAGAATAACCTCTAGTGACTAAACCATGAAGGTGAAATTATATAGCTTTGCTGCTTTGGGTGACATCAGTGCCCCAGTCAGATAAGCCTTGAACCCTTGTGCCAGTGAAAATTAGTCCCAGCAGGTCTCAGCAAGAATCTGATAAATAGGTGGAACTTTGGATATTCCTAGGATTCCCTGGAATTGCTTTGGGGGCTACATAATGGGGAAAGAGAGATATAGTAACTAGGTTCTCTGGAGCTTCCTCACCATCCCACCCCACTGAAATAGAATAAAAGCTTAGAAGGACAGCCCTACTGGGGGCTATACACAATGATACAGCATGGGGCATCTGCAGAGGAGGGAGCAAGAGAGGCACCTCCAAAAGGAGAAATGTCAGATCCAACCCGTGTTCTGTTCACCAGCAGGCAGGGCTTGGTCATGGAGGCGAACTGAACCTACAGAGGCTCAGAAGAGAGGGCACTGCACAGATCGGGTGGGGATGCACTATCCTGGAGCTTCTTTGTCTCCACACTGAGAAGAGAATGTGAGGAATACAAGTGGGGAGCACTGAAAGTGCCTACGCCCCATATCTGATGTTGCTATTTGGATCACTCAGCCATGTAATTCAAAAGGAAAGAGTCACCAGCTCTTCTGAAATATGCAAAACCTCACCTGACCTCAACCCCCACCAGGCCCACAGGCTGTTAGGAAGACCGTGTTTCATTTACATATTAACCCCTAATGAAAATCAGGACTCATCAGGTGAATTTTAAGTCTACTACAAATCCAAGATTTTTATGTTCTTGCTTAAAATGTTCATCATAGAGCTGGGAGTGAAAGTGCCCTATGAAGTAACTAAAATTCATGAGAGACACACACAACTCCTGGTTTGAAATGCTGAGTTGGAAATGCTAAACCACATCAAAACCCAGGTGAGTCAGGAGGGAAATAAAAAAAGGCAGATGATTTATAACCTGCACAAGAATATGGTAATGTCTTAGACACAGAACCAGAATTACTCCTTGGAAAGAGATTTGTTGTTTTCTGAAGACAGCAGCTCAATGAGCCTTAGTTACCCTAGATGTTAGGATCACATCACAGTGGGCGCAGGAAACAAAACAAAGTATGTGGCCCTATCAGTGGACAGACCCACTGCAGACCTCCAGCACAACCTGTGTTCTGGCCGTCAAATGTCAGGAAGAAATAGGTGAGCTGGATGAAACCCGAAAGAACGAACACTGAGCTTAAGGCCCTTTCGTCTGAGAGGGAAGTGGGTTTAAAGTAGAAGCACATGTGTTCACCAAATTCTGGAATGCAGGCAGTGGTTCTGGCTTCCGTTAGGGTCACAGAAACTTCACTTCATCTAACTTCATTTACCAAATCAATGGGAAACGGAGGCCAGCAAGGGCTGTTGGCATGTAACTATGTGGGGTTGGATTGGGTTTAGCTACATGCAGTTACGACACCAAATCGTGAGCCTCCCACTGTAACAGAATCTCTGGTACCAGCACACGAGTAATCTGTGCCCCTTGACTGAAATTTGGAGAAGGTGGGAATTGTTTGAGTTGTGGTTGTGGGCTTCACATTCCTTTGCCACTGTTCAAAAACCAGCTGGATGGGATCATTTGATTGGCAAACAAAAAAAATGGAAAATGGAAAGAGAGCATTTACAAAAAAGGCTGAAGAAGGACAGGAAGTTAAGTGCCAAGCATTCAAAAAGAGTAACCTATAAACAAACATATCAGTTAATTGGGGGGCGGGGGGTAAGGTATAGACAGTGTATAGTCATTGGGTTGAACTAAATGATGTGATGGAAAGGTCATGAAGCTGGGAATCTGGTGTGGAAGATTCCAGTCTGGCTTTGCCACCAACCGAAGGAGCTATAAGACTTCAGACAAATCATTTCACCGCTTGAGGCCCTTTTTTCCCATCTATAAATGAAAGATCAGACTAGTCCTAAAAGTGTGAATGTTCTCTGATTAAGTAGGGTACTGAAAGGATTAGAGTTCTTGTTTTGAAATGTCACCTTTTGTTGAAACCAAGACCTAACCAATGACGAGGGCTCTTGTGTAATCAAAAATAGCACAACTGAAATCACTGAATTTCAGGTTCATTTGCTTTAAGCGGTAAACAACCCATAGGTGCAAAGTCTTTCTTCAAATGTTGGGATCCACTTTCTTCCCAAAGAGAAGCAGTAATGATGGTGAAATTTTGCAAAAATCTGGTTTCTGTGGAGACGCAATTGGAAACAGTCCAAATCTATTGCTCATCCAGACAAGGTTTTCATTTGTGGTTTATTTCACTTGTATTTCAACTACGTGGTTAGCATTAAGTTTTGCTTTTAGTACTTATTTACATTCATGTGCACTGAGCCTAAGAATAGAGTCTTTTAAATGAGACTCTCTGTATATTTGGCTAGATATGGGAAGGTTGCACAGAACGAGTTTCCTGTTAAATAATTACGACTTTTGACAGTTATGCTTGCTTCTCCCACTCATTCTTCTGTTCGTGTTTTCTTATTGTCTTTTTCTGTAAAATAACATAACAGAGGTGACACATGCAATCGTCATTCCTCTACTCTAACAGCGTCATACAGTGGAATTAAATAAAGGACGCTCTGGAGCCCCTTCTTTTACAGATATGGACACTGAGGCCCAGAGAGAGGAAAGAACTTGTCCAAGGTCACATCGTGACTCCATGTTCAGTGTTCTCTTCATTCCATCAAGCGACTTCTAATAGGTGCTGTTTAAGCAAAGGCTCTGGAGCTCAAGAGTAGGAGAATGGAGGGAATAGTGCCCACAAATACGGAATGAGAGAAGCAACTTGATAAAATTGTACTTAGGGACTCAAACTAAAGCTACTGCCTGAAATCCTTCAGTATCCTCAGAAGTAAAACAAGCCAGTGTGTGTGTGTGTGTGTGTGTGTGTGTGTGTGTGTGTGTGTGTGTGTGTGTGTGTGTGTGTGCGAGAGAGAGAGAGAGAATAGTACACTTTTACTGCATTCATTCTGTGTCTGATGCAGAATTAAATGTGTTAATTAAGAATTACCGGAGTCCTTTTCCCTCCCTTAGCTCTTCCCTTTTAGTCAGAATCTCATCTCAGCCTACTTTGCCTCATATCACTCACTCCTCCCAACATTATTCTTGTTGTTTTTTTTTTTTCATTTCTACCTGCTACGGCCAGCCCAAGGCAGCACTAATAGGAAAAAAAAATCAAAATGCTTAAATTAGCTAAGTTCTTTAAGGGGCATTTTGATCATTAACTTTCATTTATTCCCCACTTTTAATAAATGTGGGATGTGCTTGGTACATAGTAAGCACTGAATAAATATTTGTTGAAAGAATGAAGTTTATCTTTTAAATATGTCTTAGATAATGAGATTAACAATGGCAGAAATTATATTTATTCAACAAATACTTGTCGAGTGTCTACTATGTGCCAGGCACTGTTCTAGGTGCTGGAAATACATCAGGAAACAAAATGGGTTAAGTCGTCTGCACACACAGGGCTTACATTCCAGATAGTGAATAGTGTAATAAAAGTTACTCAGGATTTAGAGTCAGAATGCCTGAATTTTTAGATCTTGATCCAGTACTTCAATGTGACACTGAACAAATCATCTAACCTCTCTTAGCCTCAGTTTATCCACATATAAAATGAGAATGTAAAAATACCTATATCCAGAGCTCATTGTGAGGATTAAAGATGACATTGCATGCAAAGTTGCTCTACGGACACTTAAGCATCTGTACTAACGATGGAATTTTGATGGCATTTAGGGTTGATTTCCTTTCTTTTTAAGGTTTAAGTACCTTTAGTGTTGGCAACATTTCCAACCCTCATATTGGATATCGCACTGCTCTTTCAAACGAGGTATGTCTCAAAGGAGCAATTTAAACACGACTTAGAAGCAAAAGTGAAACAAGGACCTTCAAACCCCCAAAGGCAAAGAGTTATATTTTGAGCGTTAATGCAACGGCTGAAGTGTGCAATATTAGAAACACAGCCACCAGAGGTAGATACAGTAGAGGAGGCATTGGGATGACATGATTTTCTGTCCTTCTCTCCCGGGTGAATAGACAAATAAAATGAGCAGATATTTTCATAACGTACTTTTTCAGAATTTGAATCCTCTCATATTGCTCCCCCAAGCTTGCCAAAGTTAATGAGGCATAAGATGACATGAATACTATCCCAATGACGCCTACAGGTATGTTTTCTTTGGGGAGGAATGATTAGTAACCTACCTAAGATCACACTGTTAAGTAAAAATCCCCGATCCTCCAGATTTCTAATTCATTGGCCTTTATATAGCCTTAAAATAACTTACACAAGAAAGTAGAATTCACTTTCCTTCAAGAAATAATTTATCTTAAGCAAATGAAGAGAGGGAGAAGAAACAAATCCACATAAAAAAAAAAAATCCAAATACTTTATGTAGCTACTCTACCCTCAAGGAGAGGAAGCATAGCCCCCTGTTCCTTAAGTGCGGGCTGTGCAGAGTGACTTCCTTCCAAAGAGGACAGTATGGAAGGGAGGGGGAGGGACAGAGTAAGTTTACAGTGGAGAAACCTGACAAACACTGCCTCAGCCAGGTGATCGAGGTCAACACCAACAGTCATAAATCGTGTTGGTAGTATATATGTGATGCGATGAGAACATCACTTTAGTTCTGTGATCTTTCTCCCCTAACCCCATAACTCTAGTCTAATCACGAAAAACAAAAAACAAATAAAACCCCATAAATCTCAATAGAAGAGAATCCTACAGAATATCTGATCAACTATATCTTACTAATGTAAGAGAGGAAATTGGGTGTGGGTTATATGGGACCTCTCTGTACTATCCTCTCAATTTTTCTATAAATCTAATGTCTATTTTTTAAAATCAGCCATAAGTTACAGCATAAATTACACAAGAGAAATAACTTACCAGACGTCACTTTTTCTGCTTTGGCTCCAGGAGTCCACAGTGGAGATGATGGCAGTTTCTTTGCCTGAGTATAGACATGTAGAACCAGCTGGGGTATACAACCCTTTGTGGCCACGGTCACGAAGTCGTATTTGCACAAGCAGAAGTGAAACCAATTTGTCGTCAGAGGGTTATTTATGGACAATGTCCTCCCGCAGAAATTGATTCAGATTATTTTCCCTTTTCATTCAAACTTAAATTGTATGTGAATTAGGGATCTTATATTCTTTTCTGCCTTATTCCTATAAGTAGGCAGATTTTAGTTATTTTTCCTTTCCAAATAGACTGCAGTATCTTTTCTTTGATGGATCTGACTTACTGAAGCAAATAGGAAAAATGCCCCAGTCCCAAAAGAGACAAAGCACTGGTACCTATGCCCCCAAATACAAGACAACTAGGAGAGATGTATAATAAAAGGTGGTGAAGATAAATTGATTCTTGTTACAAAGTCTTGAAATTCATCCAAAACCAAACAACATTATACTGTTTGATTGTGGAAATGAGTGTCACACAATTTAAAGAACTCTTTCTGGAATTAAAATTTCACATCTATATTTTTTTTTAAAAAAATGTAAAATGCTGTCCAGAAGAGAAGAAAGTAGAACCTACTCCACTTTGCTTTGTCTGGCCACCTAAATGATCACATCAAGTACAGGGAAAAGGCTATTTTTTTTTTTTTGTCTAACCTTCAACTTCAGGTAGTATCTGACCTTCAAAGGTATACTCAGTCATTACAAAGATAACCCTCAGTAACTATAGGTATGTTTTTAGTCCAAAGAGAGGCTCAACAGGCAAAGAGATCAAAAAGAATTGAAGATAAATATTTAGACTGTAGTCTTAAAAATTGCTTTGAACTTTTGACAAGATGGTATGCCTTATCCATGAGAAAACCATAGAAATACAATATAAAGTTCAAAACAAAGAAAATCAATGTGAATACCATCATTAGTGTTTGATTTTTTTTACCTCTGGGCAAAACCACACTTTCTACTTCTATTCCTGTCACATGTGCTTAGCTCTCCCTCTACTGGCTGTGTCTTGCTTCAATAGTTAGCTGAATTCTTAATCAGAGGTACTGCTAAAGTATCTAGTAACTAAATTAATTTTTATCACTTTTAAAGCTGCCAGGGTTCTTTATGATGTTCCTTGATATCTGCTCTGGACACTCAAATGCTAGATCTGTTACAAGTTTGGGGAAACTACCAGAATTTTCATATTCGCTGAAAATACTGAAGCGACTGAAAGAGAACGTCCACAGAGTCGGACCATCTCACCCAACCACCTATCAGAATCTGCACTCACGTGCTCTGCCTTTCAGTCTGTTAATAAATGAACCATCCATATGCCCATCAGAAGCTAATACTTTCCCTTGTGCACCAGATTCCATTCTCTTTCTCCAACTCCAGGACTACACAGCGTATTTTCCCCTTTCCTCTTAATTCACCAAATTTTCACTCTTCACTGGATTATTCCCATAGACATACAAACTTGCTGTTAATTATTCTGAACTAGCATGGGGATATAACAAGAGGGACTCCATTGTAAAACCAAATTCCATTCTTGCTATTAGGTCAGGAATGCAAAGGGAAAAGGCCGAGACACTGATTAACTACCCGTTGCCCACATCCTGAATGTACATAACTAAGAAGGAGAAAAACAATGCAATCAGCAGACCCTGTAACATAACCAGCAGGTTCCATTCCCATGATGTTAATCATTTCAAGAAAAGCCAGAGATTGTAAAACTCCTGTGTAAGTTTGTTTTTATAGGACCTGAAGGAAAACCCTGTCATGAGACGAGATTGAGCAGACATCTGCTGACCGTGAGATGGAGACATTTTTTTTCAGGAATGATCAGTCATGGGACAGCCCACCAGCTTCCCCTCCCCAGCCCTCTCCCTCTCCGAGCAGCCTACAGAAGCCCCTCACACAGTCTTATCAGGGAACCAGCCATTCCTTCCTTCTTGCTGGTTACCTGGTGTGCTAGCTATCTCTCAAAAACGATTTCCTTGCCGAACTTCATAATCAGGTCCAGTGCTCATTTCTATGACATTGGGACCCAAGAACCTGGTATTAGCTGGCTTTGGCAACAATTCCATTTTAACAAACACACACTCCCTTTGACCCCAGTTTCCCTGCCAGTTACCCTATTTCTCTGCAGTTCTTTATGGCAAAACCCGTCCAAAGAGTTGTCTAAACTCCCTGTCTCAAATGCCTCTCCTCTCAATCTATCATAAGCCTATTCCAGTCAAGCCTTCACCTCTACCATTCCATGAAAGTGTTATTAAATTTCCTAGTGATCCTTATTAATTTTCAACCTTCATCTCGCTTGACTCCCAATAGCATTCGACCCAGTGGATCACCTTGCTCCTTAAATCACTTTCTTCACTTAGATTCCAAGTAACCTCACTCTCCTAGTTTTCTTCTCATCTCCCTCAAGGTACCACCTCAGCCTTCTCCTCGATCTGATAACAATAGAACACCCCAAAGCTTAGTCTTTGGTCTCTTCTCTTTCTTTTCCACATCCACCCTATTTCATAGCTTTAAATTTCACCTCTGTGCCTCTAACTCTCAAATGGTATCTCTAGCCCCAACCTTTTTCATGTCTTACAGCTCACGAGGCATCCTGAACACAACATATTCAAATGGAACCCCAAGCCCTGCCCCCCGCCCCCTAATAAAACCCTACTCCACCTACAGTCTTTTCCATTTCAGCTAACAGCAATGACATGGTTCCAGTCCCTCGGTCCAAAACCTTCAGTGTCATCTTCGATGCTGATGTGTGTCTTCTCTCATATCCCACATCTGATCTGTCAGGAAGTCTTATTGAAATCTTCAAAATATATTCAGAATCTAAACACTTCTTAATGCCTCCATTGCCTACTATGCTGATTCAAGTTGTTATCACCTCTGGCCTCATTCAGTGGTTCCCAAACTTTGCTGCACATTAGAATCACCCAAGGATCTTTTAAAAATACTGATGCCTGGCTCCCATCCTTGATATTTTGATTTAATTTGTATGGGATGTGACCTGAGCACTGGGATTTTCCACTATTCTCCAGGTGATCCTAATGTGCATCAAAGTTTCAGAATCATCTGCATTGGTATGATAATAGCCACCTAACTGATCTTCCAGGCGCACACCACCACCACCATCCCCCTCCCGCCCCCGCCAACAGTCTATTAACACAGCAAATAGAGAATTTTATAGATCAGATCATATCTCTGCTAAAAATCCTCCAGTGGCTCTCCATGTCACTTAGAGTAAAAGGCAAAAGCTTTACAAAGGCCTACAAGGTCTTACATGAGCTGCACTGTGCCCCATCCCACCCCACCGGTGCATCAGTTCTCTGACTTCTGTCAAATGAACTCAAAAAGTCTAGAGGCTTTGCTATAAATAAATGATAGAGATTTAGTCAAGAGTCTTAGTTTGCAAACTGAAAACACAGCTAGGCAAAAACCCAAAAGTGTTCCAAAGAGGAAAGAAAAGTTAAAAGTTCTTATAGAAAAAACCACATTCTTGAGAATTAGCAGTCCTGCATCCTTAGCTGTAGGATTGGTCCAGGACAGTTACTGGTCAGATGTCAGGCTGTCAGGATGAGGGATGCCAGGTGGTTTGGAAGATGGGTGCCAGGTGACCTGGTCACATGCAGCGGTCTGCATAACCGATGGCAGGTGGATATATACATGAGTCCTTCATTGGGGTAATCAGATGGCCTAGATACATGAGTTTTTCAGGGGGTAATTAGTGGGTTACCAGACTTAGATCCGGGCATCAATGTAACTGGAAAGTTCCCAGGCTAGTTAAAAACAACAATAGAGTCTTTCCTCATGCTTCAACTTTCATAATGTTAATAATTTTAGCAGCTTGGTTACAGTGACTCCATTTTATACAATCCCT